AGGGGTTAGAGGGGTTATGGAGGGGGGTTGTGGGTTAGAGGGGTTATGGAGGGGGTGGTGGCAGAGGGGAGGGGGAGGGGTTAGGTTATTGGGGTTGGGGGTTTAAATGGGGGTTAGAGGGGTTTATGGAGGGGGTGGGGATGTTGAGGGGTTGCCATGAGAAGGGTTACACAGCGCTACACAGAACAACACAGAATTATAAACTTTGTCTCAAATTCAATGCACGTATTGCCTCAAGTGGGTCACAATGACACAGTTTGGCCCGGCATCAGTGAAGGCTGCCAGCAGGAATTGTATGACTATTTTAATATTATCATTAATTTTTTAACATTAATATTAATTTTAACATTTATAAGTCATACCTATCTGGTTTCTGGTTGCGAATGCAATAAGCAGTTGCTATGCTAACCATCATACATTAAAAACTACCTAATAAAATTAAATTGTATTATTAGGTATTTAATAATTTAAATTTACTGGTGAATTAATCACAAATATTGATTGTTATAATTACTAATTTGATTGAGAAAAGCCAATTCTAGAAGCCTTATCAGCCACTCATTTTCAGGCATCCCTGGTGATGTTTTTGTTTGATGTACACATTGTTGAATTATTATTATTATTCAATAATAATAATTATCCAATTATTATTATAATTGAATTATTATTATATATTATTGAATTATTATTATTATTGAATTCTGACATTATAGCAGATAATAATAATTATTATATGAATTATNGAATCTGTCTCTTATACACATCTAGATGTGTATAAGAGACAGGCCCCCTGCTGCTCCCTCAGCGCCTCCACCTCCTCCTGCCAGACAAGCCCTTGTCAACTGACAAATGCCGTCTTGTCAACTGTAATGTCATCTTGTCAACTGCCAAGATGTCAACTGTCATCATGTAGCCAGTCAAATGTTTTCTTGTCAACTGTGAAGTTGTCAGCTGTCAACGTGTTATTAGTTAATTAGTCAGCTGTCAACTTGACAACTGTGAAGTTGTTAGCTGTCTAGTCATCACTTGTCAACTTGTCAATTGACATGGCGCATGTTAACTGTCAACTTCTTAAGGGGACTGTTTTGGCCAAAAAAAACTTTCTTATTTACGGACAGATCATTTTGAAACTTGGTACACATGTATGTAAAACAGAAATCAAGACTTTTTTGTTTGTGAGTTTTTCGAAAAAAATGAAAGAATACGTGAAATTGATAGAAAATGGCTAAAAAAGGGGGTACTGTAGAAATCTATCTCCTCATTCATTAAACATGCTATGACATCGAGAGACATACCAGGTATCATTCAATTTGTAACGAACAAATCTAAAATCCATCCGACCATTTTTTGAATTTCAAATTTGTTTGGGAGGGAGAGGGGGATTTTCCAAAATTTTCCCAAAAAACACAAATTTTCCCCTACCCTGACCGCCTTATTCCAATATATAATCCAAATTATAACAAATGAAAAAAATGATCGGATGGTTTCTAGAGATTTTTCTTACAAATTGAATGGTATATCTCTCATTGCTGTAGCTTGGAAATCATAGGAGGAGATAGATTTCTAAGGTGCAAAACTTAAATTTTTCAGGAGAGCCGAAAAACTTAAATTTGTCATCATTGAAGGTATAAGTTTTACTTGCACTTCGACGGCTGTTGTGAACGTACAAATTAACGCACAAAAGTGGTTTTCGGCTCATTAGATGCGCATCTTTTGGACCTTTAAAATGATACTAAAAACCGGAAAAGCCACAATTTTAGATTTTTAACCAAACTGCCCTTAACTGATTAAAAATATAAAACCTCATCCTTAAAAAATCCTTAACTTTAACTGCCCTTAACTGATGCAGCACTTGTCAACTGTCAACTTGCTAAATATTGCGGTGCTTGTCATCAGTCAAATAGTCAACTGTCACAGCACTTGTCAACTCTTGCAGCGCTTGTTTTTGCAGCGCTTGTCAACTGTCGCAATCCTATGTCATGTTGCTGTACTGTCCTTGTAAATAATTGTCAATGATATACTAATGATAGTTAGATATTTTCAATGATATTCACCTGTAATGATTATGACCTCAATTAATAATTATACAGACACGGCGCATATATGGGCAGACACTACAGACCTGCAGGGCAGTGATCTGCTGCAGACGTGCAGCACCAGCATGAGCAGCAGCGACGTCTGCAGCCTGCAGCCTTTCCTGCAGCTGCTGCATCTCTCGCCGCAATGCAGCAATCTGCACAACAAATCAATACTTACAAGAGAATAAACCAATAATAACATAATTTAGTAATAACATAATTTAGTAATAACATCATCTCATTTACCACATAAAGTTATTATTTTCACTGTTGTAAGTTCTCCAAGTTGTGCTGCACATGTTATTGTATCAATATATTAACATTAGCGTCAATATATTAAGGTAGCATTAATATATCAACATTTAGTAAAGTATTAATGTCACTTATTTGCTTAAATCGCAAGTTGACTAAAAATTTGAAAGCAAAGAATAAATTTAGGTTCTAATTGTGTTCTGTGCTTTCAATTGTATTAACTTGTGACTTTCTATGTATGTTCTAGATTCTACGAACTGACGATGGAGCTGGACTCCGAAACGTTTTCTATATAGATATGAATTTTTGTGGACTTTTCTTTGCTTTCAAATTTTTAACATTTAGTAATAATTGCATTTCATTTACCACATAAAGTTCCCATTTTCACTGTTGCAACAGCCCATGGCCACACACTCACACAGCAACACTGAATTGTCAAAAATAAGTATACATGTTTGAAGAAGTTTCATTCAAAGAAGTGCATGTGTTTTGGAAGTTTAGTATAACTCTTCTCACATCCCACAACTATCATGATTCAAGCCTGTTTCTGTATAAGATTTTGTGTGAAAACACAAATATATAGACAGGCCAGCAATTCAGAGTGACATTAAATGTTACTGATTGTGATAATGAACAGCAAATGCTTAGCTTAAACAGCCAATTTATAAAAGGTTCACACATTTACACTCAGATGTCCACAGCAAATGTCTGAGGTCATAGCCTCAAGATGAGCAAAAAAAAACCCTGGGGTCATACTTTCAAAACTCGCTAAGTGAACGTAAGTACTTATGCTCTATTTTCTTGTCTATGATTGGTGGATTTTGCTTGAAAGGCCGTCAATGATTGGCTGATGAACTTACGATCTCTTAACTTTTTTTGAGAGTATGGGCCCAGGCTGGTGGGCGCATTTGTCGCCACAAGATTTAACCCCAAAAAATCTACCAGGGGAATCAAGCCGTCGTTTGATTTGTTGTATGATTTCTCAAATTATTGATTATTGATATATATTGATTATTCTCAAATCTTGATATTATCAAGATTTAATCAAATTATTGATTATACGCCCTGGTGTGGTCATGTGCTCACCTCCTGCTGCCGCATCTCTGCCACCGAGTTGAGTTCGTTGAGCTTGCGCTGCGAGATGACCACGTCTCTGCCACCGTCTGCACAATAAAATGTCTCTCAGTGTTGGCTTTAAAGAGGTCTTCAGTTGTCCAAATAATCATTACATTGAATAATATCTTCTTTGTGATATGGCATCATATTAATTTAATAATAAACACTTAATTAGAGAAAAAATAGGAGCTAGTATGTAAATCTTTACCTAAATTATATTAGTAGTTCCTCAATAAATTAAACTTAATTAATGTATTATAACAGAAAAATCCTCCAGAATACATTGATATACACAAATGCTCATGAATATGAGCCAATGAAATGTTAATTTTAACCAACCTTCTACATCAGAATTGCTAACAGACATTAGATGGGCAATTGCAAACCATTTATATCCTCCAGAACATATAAAGAGACAGTAAATGGGCATTTACAACCAACCTTCATCCTCCAGGTCATCCGCCAACACCTCCCGAGTGAGGTGGCTGATCTGGCCACCAATGTTACGGAGGCTCTCATTCAAGTTAACTCCAAGCCACGACATTATCGGCACTTCTTTCACCAACACTTGGTAGTTAATGTTGCAATCACACTTTATACATTAGCTGTTAATGTTTATATTAATAAAACTTAATCCCACTAGCTGCATCACAAATAGTTTTCTGCTACATTTGCATTTGCCTAGTGAACAAATGGACCATTAATATTCATTCCATTATCAGAAAATTTCAATGCACATTTTGATTCAGTATTTCTGCTGTCCATTACCATGCTCCTGCCAAAATATCCTGCCTTATGAGTAAACCCAAAACATTTCATCAGCGATTGCATAGTTACGGAGACCGGGCGTGAGACGTCAGGGGTTAGACTGCATTATAACTACATTTATTCTTCCACAGAAATGTAAACAATACATTATCACATATTCCATTGCCTCTAAAGTAAAGACAAACGTTCTTGCTGCTGTTTCTAGGGCAAAATTAGAGATTTGGAGTAACACATATATGGGATTTGTGACCCAAGTTTGCAGCTCATAAATGGTGTTTCATAGCCAGGGTATGGTATCCTCAGCTCAAAAAATATAGAATCATGGCTTGCAAATTCATAAAATCACAGCTTAAAAAAATCCAGTTTTGGTTCAGAGAGAAGATCTTTTCCTCACTAGCGTAAAATAGGGTGGCTTGGCCTTGGACCATTTTGACATTTAAGAAAAGATAATGCTATAACTCAAAAAGTTCATGCCTTAGAAAAATTATGGCTCTTGAAAATTATGGCAGTATGGCTCTTGAAGTACCATGAGATAACATACAAATACAATAAAGATATACAGGGTGTTTCAGAATTAAGTAACCCTTTTAATTTGTTAATAAATAAAAAACTAAGAACGTAAACAATTGTGGTGGGCATTTAAAAGATATTATATTTAAAAACTAGGATACAATATTACCATAAATATGTTCTTCTTTTAAATAAAACAAGTTTCAACTTCATAACGTTCTTAGTTTTTTATTTATTAACAAATTAAAAGGGTTACTTAATTCTGAATCTGAAACACCCTGTATATTTATCATTTGATTATTTGTATCAGCATTATCAAAAATAGTCCCACTCCCAGCTCCAAAAATGTTTCAAGCCACACATTTTAAGATACCTATTCAATTAAATTTTCTATTTTTATTAGTTTTTTTCAATTCTTAGCTGTGTAAATTTAGAGAAACAAAATTCTAATTTCAAAAAAGATTTTGGCCCCTAGTCTTACCCAATTTTTTCAGTAGGTAGGCTAAAACTGTGAAAAATGGCCTAATAGTATTAACACCTGCTATTCTCAAAAATTACCTAAAAAACAATTCTTCATGTCCAGAATTCTAGGAAAGTTCTGACTTCTGATCATCATAGTGGCAACCGGCAAACTAGTGATTTTTTATCAGTTTATTTTTAATTTCCTCATATGCTCAATTCGGTATGTTAATCAATTTCAATCTATGATAATGCTGGTATCCAAGATACTTACTAGTCTACTTATTGGACTCAAAAATGAACTTCAGGAAAGCAACAAAAAATGTTCTCATTTGCCAGTTTGCCACTTCAAGACAACTATCATTAGACTATAGTCTATCACTATCAGTATCACTCAGACACTCACTAACACTAAGTCACTATGCAGTCTAACTCTATGCTATGTTGCAGCTGCATTGCTGCTCACTATTCGTCAGTCGTCACAGGGTAATGTGATATTATTGATCTACGAAAAGCAAAAACATTGCTCGTAATTCGTAAATAATGGTAAGACAAAAACCGATAGCATATAGGTAATCAACTGAACTCTACTCTAATTACGCGTCTCTGACTCCGACTATCTGAGTTCGTTTACTCCGAATCTTATACTGTTATACATTCTTAGCATAATTATATAATAGCAATATGGGAATTCTAACCCAAATGTCTATCCATCAAACATGAATTCCATGAAAGTTAAGAATTAACCTAATGTTTCGGTTACATATCATGAACACACATGATGCCAAACAATATGAAAATCGCAATGTTTACATTCCGAAACTTTCTCAGCTGTTGATACAAATTACTGCCAACATGACAATGTTTTGGTTTCAGATGCCAAATGTCACTATTACTATTAATTTGATCAGCAAAATTCTAGTTCATGGAAATCCTTGCGTTTTACAACTTAAGCATGCTTCATCGCCTTTACGAACAATTATCATTTATTGAGCATTTTCCGGAAAACTATAAATAAATATGCAATAATTGGTGCGGTGAAATTGAGCGTTGTCACTTCGGAGGTTAATATTAAACCTTCAAGATTTGTTGGCAGTTATTATCGCCAAAACTATATTAAAACTTCAATGGTCTTTTAACCTGTGAAGAATATCTGCATCATTTTTTAATCGAAATTATTCCAGTATCAGAACTTACAAAAATATAAAATACGATAGTTTTAGAGTGATATTTGATAATACAATAATATTATAATAGAGAGCTAGTGAAATATCAATAAATCGGCGTTCATAATGCCTAATTTTTGCGCTTATACGGACAAATGCTTCTATTTAACTGATTTAAAAAGAATTATATGCAAACGAACGGCAACATTCCTTGATATGAATATTGAATCACGATAATTTTGCTAATTTTAATGTTTTAAATCCACAATGATGTTAGGTTCGTTAGAAGTTTGACATTTGATGAATTACGTGAGTGTCCATTGATACTATATGTACTATACTATACTATACTATGATACTATATGTATACTATATGAATTTGAAATAAATTCTACTTATCATTATTACTTATTTAAATAGATGCCAGCTTGTGCCCTCAACGCTCACGTCGATTCCTTACAGATGTAAATGCTCTATTTCTAGTATACAATACGTCAATACCAAATCATTTGAATCATGACATGAAAGAAAATATAGCAGATAAATAATAGAAGAGCATTTCTTTTACAAGCTACGGGAAAGAAAATAAATTTTCCTGCATTGATTTTATAGGAATAATTTAAACTAAGCCGAAAATTTTTGTGTTTCATGAAAGAACAAAACCTGCAGCCTTCATTGAAAATGACACGATAAGCAAGATGGTGGACGGATGCGTGGTTGAACTTCGGTTGAATTTCAACCATGAATGATGTGCAAAACTCCCCGTCCATATCTCAGACTCCCAGTATATACAATATGAATATGAAATAATCCAAGTGATAATTTATTAGGAATTTCAATTAAACGAAACGCCGTGTAAATATTTTTCAATTTACTTTGGGTTTCCTTTGGTTTAAAAATATTGTTTAACTAATGAATTAAGAATAAGAAATTAAGCATATGACTACTTCAACAATCATGGTCTGGCTAACGTAGCATCCAACTTCAGTTCTTATCCGCCTGCAAGTAAAAAATTCAAATCATTTATTAAAGAGATTTGTAATTATCATCATTTATTTACAATAATAAAATATTATGTTATTTATTACAAGAATCGGCGACAGGCCATATCAGGAATATTTTGCAGTGCCGATATCACTATGATATGATATAGTTAATTCTGAACTGTGCCCGACCATCAGGTTTGAGCGGGACCGCCTCCTTCTGTGAATGGAAGAAACACAAAACAATGTTACGAGGGACACTGATGTGTAACAAATTCCTGGCGCTCCAGTTCAACCACAGATAATATGCGCCAGGGCGGAGCAGAGTAATCATTGCCATCGCAAAATATTTGTGTGGCAAACGCCAAAAAGTGGCCATTTACTACCCAGAAATGAAGTACTTGGAAAGAAAATAATTATTTTGCAAATAAATGAACCCTGTCAATAAGTTTCGGTTTTCATCGTCTTATTCACCAGTTATCGTTCTCGAGCACCATGAATAGCGCATAAAAATAATCTATTATAAAGGGAGATTCAACAAATATTAGATTAGTTTCATGATATCAACTGAAACGAACATGAACGTCGTTGAATTTTCTTATAAATAGTTCAACGCATCATAATTTAGAGCAAATGATGACCTCATGACGAGTTTAGGACTTCGTAGTCCAAGGTCAACCTGATGCGCTTCTACCAAATTACAGAATTTTACTTAATAGCTCCGCACCTATCTTTTCAGAGATAGGTGCAGTGAGCGTCAAAAATAATATCCACCTTAGTGTAGATGGACTCAACAATACCTCAGACGCAGCTGCGTGCACACCTATCCACTATGACTGAGCAAGCGCGTTTTTTAGCGTATTCGAGCTATGACTAAGCTATTTCACAACATAAGTCAAACTCCAGCCATCACTGTCGCCAGTAAATATATTCATTAACCGTCATCACAAAGAGCACATACATCACGTATGCGTGTACTCTTTGTGATGAAACGTATGCTTCGTTTATTATACAATTAAGATTCGTACGGCCAATATAGGATATAATGTCCAGTATTCCTTGAATACTTCAGAAATTTTGAACCCTCTAAATAAGTTTCGGTTTTCACCGTTTTAATCAGCGGCTATAGTTTTCGAGCATCATAAATAATGCATAGCAACGATTATTAGATTAGGTTCACGATTTCCCCTGAAACGAACATGGACGTCGTAGAATTATCAAAATATTATGAGATTGAGTTGAGTTTTCAACTGTTATAGTCACCAACAAAAATACGCGGTGTTGGTTGTAAGATATCGTTCGTGTATGAGCATAATATGTATCAAAATAAATAATTTTCTGTAGTGGAAAACTCAGATTACAATCCAATTTCGCTCTGAATAAATCGATTTAGAGCAAAATTTCATGTAGACTTCTACTCAAGCATTTGTTAACAAGTTAAAATCCCACCTCAAAGTAGCATACCCGCCCCGTTAGCAAACGTTAAAAAGAATTAAGTTGCAGTGTTTAAATTAATATGTTAAACTGGTATCGATATATCGTGTGCCTTAGTGCATTAATCTAACATTGCAGCAAGTAGAAAAGTATATTAATAGCAGAATAACGTAGGAATTATCACCTAATGTCTTCAGAACCTGAATCTTTTTCAGTACATTTTTCGTACGTTTTCACTCATCTTAAAGGTCTGTTATGAAGACCTATCAGTAAACATAGAATAGAGTCAACTTCTCTGGTCGAGAAATTGCAAAAGTCTATTTTTGACCCATCTTCAAATTGAGTTTTCTTCTTTATTTTTCACGCTCTCCCCTTATTAGAAATTTTTGGGGAGAGCATAACAAAGGTCGTATTCTCAACAGCATTAATCTATTTCAAAAAAGCTGAATTTAATTTC